AAGAGTAGCCATACTATCCGGAGGGGCACAGCAGAGCACGAGCAAACACCGGGATTCGGAGCATCTGATACCTGCTTATATATCAAATACTTCTCGAGAGTATGCAACCCATCCAAAAAACGATTAGTCGCCGACCCTTTAATGGTCGGCGTAAACTCATTTGCTTCATCCACCCATCCAGTCGCCGGCCACTCACTGGTCGGCGAAACTTCACGTATGAGTTGTACAACTTCTGAAACATTGATTAAATCTGAGAAACTTTCATGTATGTACACCAACGCCCAAGGGCTCCTCAGTAAAATTAACGAACTTCGACTACGTCAGGTTGCGAATGCTTGGGACCTAATTTCTATTACCGAAACTTGGTTGCATCAAGAGGTAACTGATGCTGAGGTTGAGCTAGCCGGAATGTCACTCTTCCGGAACGACCACCCCAGCAGAGGAGGTGGGGTCATACTCTACTACCGCAGCGATCTACAATGTACAATAGTTGAGGACCTGGAAACACACGTTACCGACTCACTCTAGTGCCGTCTCCGACTGAGACACAACGACACATGTCTCATAGCTATCGTTTACCGCCCCCAACATCCACTCTGGAAATAGATTCCTGCTTGATCCGTGGTCTAAACAGAGTAACACGCACTCCGGGGACTTCAATCTACACAATCTGGAGGTTTCGGCATCGCCCAGTGAGCAGTTCAAAGCGGACGTGCATGAACTGATCGCGAATATTCCCTTGTACGATCATGTCACCACGCCCACTAGATTCAGGACAGCAAACAAACCGTCCATATTGGACCTTGTGCTCACAAATGAAGATCTCATGATTGACAAGTTATTGATGGATAGTCCATTAGGTCTCAGTGACCACGTAGTAATAACTTTTGACTATGTGTGTTATGCAGAGTATCCATCTGAACGCTCGGAACTAACTCATACAATTGCACGCTACCACGTATTGAAAGAACTCACCGAAGCAGCTGCTTGGGAATTCTCAAACAAAAGTCCCCTTGACAACGTTTGGGCAGAGTACGTTAATAAACTCAGCGACATCGTCAACAAAGCATCAGAGACCAAACCCCGTCGTCCTGCGAAAATGCCTTCAACTATAAGGAGTAGGACTCGAAAATGCCTGGCGATAAGGGATGCAGCATGGCGTGCCTACAAGATTAACCCCGACTCAGAGACTTGGGGTAATTTCCTGACCCATCGCAACCATTAAACTGCACTTGTCCGTGAGGACAAAATAACTTATCAACAGTGCCTAGCCAAAAAGTTCATGGCAAACAACAACCTGCTGTATAAGCATGTCAATAAGCTTCGCAAAGTGAAGCATGGAATACCCCCACTCTTCACGACAGGCGGTAGAGTACAAAGCGCCGAAGAAGCAGCTAATGCCCTGCGGCTGCAATACGCCCCAATTTTTGAACTCGCAACATCTACCTATTCCATAATATCAAGCTCATTACCGAAACCTTTTTTACAAATGTTATTTTCAACCCATCAATTGTGTTAAGGAAATTACTCTCACTGCGTGAACGTAGTTCTCCGGGAGCAGACAACATCCGCCCGAAGGCACTGAATGCTATGGCCACCAAGTTAGATGAACCACTGTCACAGTTCTTTCAAAGGTGCTTTGATGAACAACAAGTCCCCACTATGTGGAAGTTTGGCATTATAACCCTTATTTTTAAAGGCGGTAGCCGTTCCGATCCTGCAAACTATCGTCCAGTGACTCTCCTCCCTGTGCTCGCGAAGGTGATGGAAGCAGTCGTCGCTGAGGGTTTAATGGACTACCTGGAAAAATGCTACATCTTGGTACCGGAACAGCATGGCTTCCGTCAACACCGGTCATGCACCACCAACCTACTGATTGCACGAGGTATTTGGACATCATCATCATCCTTATACATGTCAGCTAGAGATGGTAAAACACCTCCGCTATTGTACCGCAATACATAAAGGAAGTACATACATACATACAATACATAAAGGAAAAATAAATACGACAGTTGAATGCCAGCTGAGCTACCAGCAACGGATACGCATCGTTCCGGTAAGCTACTAGCCGGCTACTAGGCAAAAACAAAAATTTAATTACGTTTTACCCTACGAGATAAGATCCTAGATGGAGGGGGTGGCTAAAGGGATGGGGAGGGACAAAGAAACTCACAGCAGGAACGCCACTGAGGTCGGCTCCTTGCCATTTCAGCAAGTGTATCCAGCCAAACGTGTTCACCGTCTTTTGGACCCCAACCGGTATTTGGACGGAAGTGGCCGATGATGGGGTCGGAGTTGACGTCATCTATCTGGACTTCTCCAAAGCTTTCGACCGCCTTGATCACCGCATCCTACTTCAAAGACTACAAAGTTACGGAATCGGAGATCCTGTACTTGGCTGGATTGGCAACTTCCTTTACCAACGAAAGCTCCAAGTACGTGTTAGGGGATCACTTTCTAACCCGATTGAGGTGGAATGTGGTGTCCCACAAGGCTCAGTGCTGGGACCGCGTTTATTCCTGGTGTTTATCAACGACCTGGCAAGAGTCATCTCCTCAAACTTCCTGCTTTTCGCCGATAACGTCAAGATATGGCGGGCGGTTAGTAACAAGACAGATCAGGATCTGCTCCAACATGACCTAGATTGAATTTACGAATGGTCAAAGAGGAACAAGCTTAATTGAACATGGCTAAGTGAAAAGTGATGCATCTGCGTCACCAGCCGGTGAGCGCTTACAAGATTGGAGACCACACCTTGGCGAAGGTTTCTCAGGAGCGTGACCTGGGTGTATTGGTGCAGGAAGATCTCGGGTGTTCAAAACAAGCAGAGAAGGCGACGAGAACCGGCAATCAACACTTCTACCTTCCTCGCAGAGCCTTCGGTCGGTTTGAACCCTCAATATTTCCCCAAATGCTTAACGCCTACGTGCGACCTCACGTGGAATATGCTATTCAGGCGTGACAGCCGTGGTAGAAAGAGGATCTCGTTGCTCTCAAGACTTGTCAACGAAGGGCAACCAAGAAAGTCAGGGACCTCTTTCATCTGCCCTATCAGCTTAGACTGAAATCTCTAAGAATCTACAGCAGTTTATATCGGCTTTTGCGGGGGGATCTCATAATGGTTTACCAGATTCTGATGATCCCAAACAACGTTTGCCGTCCGCTGATGGAATTGAACCACAACACTAAACTAAAAGGTCACCTTCTGAAACTGACAATTCATTATAGCAGGCTTGAATGCCGTAGAAATTTCTTTTCCCTCCGCGTGTGTCAGCCTTGGAACGCCCTCCCTAATTATGTCGCCTCTGCTCCCAATCTGGCGATAGTTAAAAAACGTGTTGACGATGCATTGTCTCACTTACATTTCATTTTATGACTTGTTAGCCAGGGGCTACAAAACGCAAGCAAACGGTTTCTTGCCAAACGCCTAACCAATGGATTTATGGATTTATACGTTTGATATGCGGACATCTCCGCTATTCCACTAAAGTCTATGGTGAGTCCACCACAACGCTTTTCACTTTATTATGCAAGTGATTTTCGCAATAATTTCCATCCAACGGGACTTGTTAAGCGATGCTTTTTTACCCGTAATAAACCATTGTTCCATTGTCCATGGATTTCGCATTTACTACTACGTCACTTACGTCTGCTGCTGCTTTCGCTGCTGCTCGTGCTTCTCCATCACACGCCATCTTTTCTCTTGTTGTTAATCAACAACCTGTTGAATCTACTTACAATGCCCGTCTTGTTGTTATGCAAATCATCCGGCCATCAGCCATCCTTCTACCCAGTATTTCATGTCGTCTGGCAGCGTCCAATTTTCGGACCTTTAAAATGAGATTTAATGCATCAGCACGAGTGCAGCATACGAAAATTCTTACCTTGGCTGGGTGTGCGATTACAGTACAGTTTGCTGATTTTCAGGCTACAGACTTCATTTGAAAATCAGTTTTTGCGCGTGTAATTACACAGGCGCTTCTAATAAGGCACATAACCCCACGCAATAACGAGTTCGCAGTACCGCGCATAGAGTCTACCGTGCATGATATTCCCGGGTCATTTCTAGAGGGCTATTATTAATAGGTAAGTGTGTGCGAATGTTTTAATGAACGGACCGCAGGCAAGTTTACACATTGCGCAGGTTACATGATTGGATGGATAAATAATTCAGTGGGTTAATTTGCCAATTTGCGGGATAGGTTCCCGAACAGTGGTCACCAAGCAGGTGTAAGAGCTTGGTTTTTGAATAAAAACGGTGTCTGGTAGCGAATCTGAATACACCCAGGGTTTGGAAAGCAGCTGCTAGTCGTAGCTTAGCAGGTAGTGCAGATGTCAGTTATGGTGATCCAGTGCAATGCTTCAATATCCAAATTTTCTCTTGCCTGGTATTTATATCGCCGAGAAATGCTTTGTTTAATTGTTCAAAGGTGGATGCCTACGCAAGAAACTTATCGGTTGCTGCTAGAATTGCCCAAAATAATAAGTTCCTTGTACTCCCATCAAACTGAGATACAACACTTTACTCCGGTTTAGGCTTTTGGATGAAAAGTGAGCTAAGTGAGAGGCTAAGTGCTTCTGTAGACAGCTATCCACTACATATACTAATCAATAACCTTCAGTGTCTCAAAATGGTGCGGGGTGTTCCGCACAGTTCACATTACTCCCCCCATTGCTATTTCATGACAAATGTGGACAGACCCTCATCCTTCAAATGTCTGGGGCCAACCTGATGGATGCGGACAGGCATATGTTCCGTTAAACAGAGCTGAACTCCATAGATCCTCAGCCGTCAATCACATTTACGTCTAACATGCAAGGGTACCACACTGGTACTGTCGGCTACCCAATTGGTGCGCAGAGATAGCAAATCAATTCCCGTGTGCGCGATACACATCTCCTCCAATTAGAAATGCTCACAGTCTCGAACGAGCACTGTGGCGAGTAAATAAATTACATGCGCATCACAACCCCAATGAAATAAAGCCTAACAACCATTATGTTCCCGACAACTTGCTTACTACTGCTTGGTAAGTTTTGTGATGCATTCTGAGCCTGCAATTTATTCTCCAACGTCAATTCTTCAATGATAACATTACCCCACGGAACTCTGTGTGTGCTATTAATATAATATAATCTCATTCGACAAGCATTAGACCGCTAGTATGTCAGGATATGCTAACTTTTTTCCTTACCTTGAGCGAACTCACGAGAACAAGGTTATTTAGGTAATCTCTAATAGTCAAATATGAAACAGCTGATTCAGACGTTCAGATTATGCGCACATCACAATAAATGTTACGCATGCAATCCATGCGGAGAAAGTGATGCAGCACTATTATAACGTCTGACTGTAACAGAACCCACTCCAAAAAGAAAGTGAGAACACCACCGCGCGGGACTACCTGTATTGAAGAACTGACAAAGGTGAGCAACGGGGTTGTAAAATGGTCCATAGGTCAATAAGCCAATCACATGAAAAGATATAGTCATGAATGGTGAGCCGTCTAGCTCTGAAAGGCTGTCGTGCGTGGAGCCAACACAACCACGTGACGGGACAGTCTCGAATGTCAAACTATCTAGCTGTGAGCGACTTCCAAGCGGGAGCCCCTCTAACACCCACCCATGCTTAACTGAGCCACTTGACACTTTAGTTGTTTCTTTAACAAACACTAAGTTACTGCTAGAAACATTTACGAGTGCATTGAAGATTTGTCTCTGACAGCCCTGGTAAATGACGATTAGGTGCGTAACAAGAGTATTGTTAAATTCTTGCCGCCGAAACAGCCCTCACGCTGGTCGAAATTCATGCATACTCGAATGTATAATATACAAAATTCCCTGAGTTAGTGAAACGGATACAATGGTCAAGGCAGCTAACTTAATGCACCGCAGTAAAACTCTGTGTGCCCAATGATTTAACACCGTACTCCTAATGTTCTCCACCTCATTCGCTCAACAGCGATTGCGTTTTCGTCATGCCAACAAATGCGTCAACATGGTGAGTTCACATTTGTGAAGTGTCTCTTTAACTTATCGCTACAAAACCGAGATTTATTGTATGTTAACTTCTTCACTGCGTCAATTGTGTTTAAATTAGTGTTTGCTTCCCAATTTCATGGTAAAAGTAATCTGGATTTTAAAGAAAACGCAGAACAACCGGCTGACATGCCGCTGGCCAGAATAGCCAAATTCTCTCTGCACGACAACCTTGCGAATTAGTTTGCGTTACATTAGTTACTTCATTTTCGTTTGTGCTTGCAGTCATAATGATAACAGGAGTACTCCTAAAGGATGGTAATCCGTTACCGTTGACTTGTAAAGAGGACCTGAAAGATCGTCCATCAGTTAGACAGTTTGAAGATGTCTGCATCAAGGTAAATAGTATTTCATTGAGTTTTTGTTTACAGGCGCGTAGTAATCATATCAACGTAAAATCGCTCTACGAATAATATGGTTTATCTGAATCGTTAAGGCTGCTTTCTCATTTCAACCCGCACACTGACCTCATGTTTGAAAGTTTGGGCCATGCATGATAAAATGTGTTCTGACTGATTACTTTAAACCTACTATTCACTGATAAGCATTATTTCCTATGCTATTACAGCTCCGGACCTCAATTTCTTCAAAGACAGACGTGCCATACGATACGGTCGGATGTGTCTTTTCTTCATTGATAGTCCCTCCTAATCGAACTCATGTCATTGTCAAACTAGAGAATAAAGGAACTACTAAACTGCATAAGTTTGTAGGGGAATTGTTCTTTGAACTTGAAAAAAGGAAAACTATTTCGACCACCATGAACTTACAACTGCGGCCACACTACGGTAAATTGGTCCCAATCGTTGAAATGGTAGTACGAAACTCTTGCGTTTTGTGCCAAGATAGTTATCTTCGTAAAACAACTGTGTTGCAATAGATAATGATTATATTCATCAATACTCCAGATATTGCGCGGTTATCATTCACGTAATTAGAATATCTTGAATCCAGAGATTTTCATAATGTTCATGAAAAGAAGTCATACCTATAAGAAATCATATTTCCATGTGCCTTTTGAATTAGTGTTTTTTCGACGAACAAGCTGATAGCCTCATTATTTTTTTACAGAGACTGCCACGGGTGATGGGTATGCAAGTAAGTTGTTCTATTATACCGAGATTCAAACAATCAATGACAGCTAGACTGCACAGGTCGACGCACAATCTACTACTCCCCATTTAATCTCTCTTCTGGACTTAGTGAGTACCACCGCAGTCACAAGCAGACAGTTGTTAGTTTGTGGGAACTGACGCGACAATACAAATTAACACATCTCACGCCGTTCATCAGAGTGAGCGGCGCAATTCAGCTGACTACTCTTGCGATTGGATGTTGCGTAATGGCCTGTATCACAAGTGCGAATTTCCTGTTGGCGCTAAAACATGTTGGCCAAACTAACAGCGGTTTTCACCCAGGTTGTAAGCATGGCACAGCACCGTAATAAGTTACTGAATGAAACACACAAGTAAACACACGTACCTACACGTTGACCACTGCAAACTTGAGAAGTAGTTACACCAAGATGGTATCATCCATCGCTTCACGTGAAATTTAGCATGCGTGCACCTTTCGAACTCCTAATCCTATCTTTCTAATTCAGCCATTCGAATTTCTGTGGGTTTATTGGGAGATGATTTAACGGACGTATGGCGCGGTGTATATGGCAGTGCAAATGAGGTGATGAATATTGTGGAGACGACCTGTTCGAAAGTAAGTAACAGTTTGGAGTGAATTTGTAAGCCCTTTGCTCTGTGGTACTCATCAGACTGACTCATGATTTTGGAAGAGGGCGGTACCCAACTAGAGTACTCGACGCACTGAAACTGTTCACCAGATAACGCACCGTTATCTCCCAAATCATAATAGACCCGTAATAATACACGCTCGGTGCGCAACGTAGATAAATAACAATTTGTTTGCTAGTTTTCTATTGCTGAGTGCTTTGCCGTATTCGCCACAGCTTGGATTAAAATACGTGGCAAGCATTGACTGAGTTTAAACACTTACATAACCAGCAAACCTAAATTCGCATAAAGCAAGCAGGTTAATCTTTGACATCTTACGGACCCCGATGACAGTATGCGCACCTGATCGGATAATGTATAATCGATGGTGTTCCTTATTAAACCATTGACAATAAAGTAACCTGGTTGAAGCATCGTTGCGATTAAATTCATTGGAAGTGCGCGATATATACAGCTTTGCATGCCCTTGATTTTAACACTAGTGAAAAGTCGCAATCTCATGGTAACCCACGAGTAGACTTGTCTGAGTGCAAGGTGGATACAAAAAAGAGCGATAAAGTGTGGAAAAATTGGTAATTCATTCAAAATTTCCAACACATAATCCAGGATCTCTTAAACATAATCAGTTAACTTGTAATGAATTCCTCGTACTAATAAAAATATTGTTCTTACTTCACTGGCTCTCTTGAATTTAAAAGTACGAGAAATTGGCTAATACGGAGAAAATATTGGGCTACAAGAACTTTACTTGTGTTGTAACCGGTCCACGCCGGAAGTACGTGAAAGGCGTCTTTATCTTGCATTTCGAATCGGATAAAGCGAATGCCATCTCATTAACGAAGGAGGCCTTGGAAAAACGAAAGATAACGGGCATTGGTCACGAAATCACTGTTTTGTTAATTAAAGTCCTAAAAGATGAATGTTAATGTTTTTAATAAAGAACTGTATTGGAAATCAAAGTTATTGTGCTGAGGTATGGTGGATATAAAACATTAATTGTGAAAGTTATCATCATGCCCTGTACTTGTAGAATGCAGTATCTGCCATCCTCTATTGTTGGTCCGCTTATCGTGCCCAGACGAAGTATTATAGAACTTCAAGGACATTTGCTCACAGTATATATATATATATATATATATATATATATATATGGTTGGCGCATCTGGTTTCGGATTTGGCTGTCACTGTGGCCAGCCACAGGACGCCTGCGCCTACAGAGGGACCATGGATGGCTTGCGCTGCACCACCCACAGCTCCAACCACACAACCCATATGCAGTGTAAACCCGAAGGAATAAGACCAGGAGGCATGTGGATGGGAGCCACATTTCATCAACGGAGTCGGCCCACACGCCTCCACAGGCAAACACAAGCACGTTGTAGTTGAGAATCAGTCGCACAGAAGGCGGTGGTTGGACAGTAGTCCGCTCCACACTGACTGCATGGAACTGACTTGCACTACCAAGAGGACCGTGTACGGTATATATATATATATATATAAACATATATATATATAAGTATTTTGGCATACCAAACACCTCCATGTAAATCACACGTTTACGTCAATTGCTGATGACCCTTCTGAGTCGATGAGGTTTCTCTTTGCCTCAGTGAAACAAACCGTTATTGACACAAGAATTTCCACCAATCTGTTCAAACAAAATAATATGTTTCCTCAATTTCATTTCGACAGCCTGTCTCGCTCGGCTGGTCCATCCGTTCAGCCGATATGATAATTTCGTGTCTTATATTCCACATTGATATGAAAAAGTAAACTTTGCCACACCGCGTCGTCGCTGAATCTGAAGCCGCAGACTTAAAACCACTAGCAATGGGGCCCTGCCAATTATGTTGTTGCCCCATGGAATAATCACAAATACACTCAATTTTTTCCGGGCATTTTCCCTCCAAAAATTAATACAGGTGAAAGTACACCGAACACTTTACTCCCCACATATGCAATACCCCGTTGTAGAACACAGGGTACTATAAGCTTTTTACGTGCAACTTAGCGCATGGCGCTAATAAGTTAGCATGTAAAAAATCGAACTCATCTGTTGTTCAGTTCAGTTCGCACGCGTATGAAAACACACTCCTTGCGTTGCCACATGCACGTACCATCAGTGACACTCGCATTGGTCATGGAATATTTGCCAATGGGACAACCTGCGCGTAAGCACATGGCTGGATGCATGCGTCGATGGGGGCACGGTGAGTTCATTCATCTATACTTCCGAGTAGGTTGACACATTTGTGTTAACGCAAGGCAGACAGGGATGAGGGTATAAATGCTAGAGGTCACCAGCAGAGCGTCTAACCGAAGCTGGTCAACTTAGCATGACGTGTTGGAGCGTTCAAACTCTGCACCCTATAACAGATGATTTGTTGGAAAGAGTTACCATTAGTTCGTATTCTGACCAGACCGGTGGCCGGTGTACATGTGTCCAATTTCCAGCGCTTGTCCAAGCAGACCGCAACCTATCAGAAAGACAATATGTGATTCCTCCAAGCGACACAGTACCACTGGCATATTTGGGCTCCAGGTTAATATTGACTCTGGTCAAAAAATACGCCCCATAATAATATTCATAAGAATAACGATAAGAATCATAAATATATTGCCCATCAAATCAAAAGCTGTGACAATATTTCACACAGAACCTACCTGCACAGGTGATGTTATGCTCTTGCAAAAGCAGTACCAAGTTATCTTCTTATTTTTGTTTGCATTCCTGGCAAGGTATTTGCCCCATATGTTTATGTCTTATGCGATAGTAGGAATCGAATTTGCAGTTTGAGTATGTGTTAGACACTGAGCGTGGTATTTCACCCATTAGATGTTGTCTAGGCTTTCATATTTTGGATGAACAAGTGATCTCCCCCATGAAAAAGACGACATAATGGTGTTCAGGTCGAGATAACTTCCCAACTTACTGCGAAAGGATTGCACAGTCTCACACGATCTGATGGTGAATGGCAGCCGATTCCACAGAGCAACATATGTGAGGAGACGAAAGTTAAACCGCAGTTTTGTCCTGCATTGTGGTATAATCAAGGTAAAGTCTTTGTTACCTTGGTTCCGCGTTTAATTGTGCTACAATGTTAAGGTGCATCGGTTGCAATAGAAATTGCTATGAATCACATTGTACAACAGTCTCAGGTTATGTTTTAGGCTTCGAAGCCAAAGCGAATCACGATGGAGTTGCTGGCATTGCTCCCGATAGTTTATTCTAGCATTTTTTCCAATACATGTTTAGTAAACGACCATTGAAGGCTTTCTATCGATGTTCGGTCTGATTTTCCCATATTGCCACAGATTATGCTGCGATAATTCAGGATAGGAAGATTAAGGATTTTAAATCGTACAACTGTAGCTATGATTGTATGCATGTTATGAAATAGGTTAGCCAAGGATTGTCTGGCTTTTGCTATCTGGTACTCAATCTGTTCAGAGAACATGAAAGTACAAGAATATCTGATTCGGGGGTCATGGGTAGACCGTTGTACACAGATGCGTTCGCTGTTACTTGTGATAGATACTTCGGGTATCAAACAACCGCGACATATGACACTTGACTTTTGTGCTTAGAACGTCATCATCCACTTGTCGCACCAAGTCTCAAGTGAATGAATGTCATCTTGACTGAGTGGCAGTACCTTCGGAAGCTGAACTCGTCGGTACTTGTGGACAAGTTATATCATCAACAAATAAAAACGACACGTCATGTGTGATAACCAAACTGCTATCATTGACACAAAACAGAGAAATTAATGTACCGAGTGCAATGCTTGGTTCACCTCGCTGGTAATTAAACGCGGGGAGGAGCAATGGTCGCTTAAGCTAAATGTTTGAGCGCGATCGTTATGTATGATGACAGACAACCCATTAATGTGTGCTGGACTTCAAAAATACTATCTAGATCAGTAAACGTTTATGAGGCACCCAATCGAATGCCTATTGCATGTACAAGAATAGAAATGATATAGCATATTTAGTACATGGAGTCTGGTATCTAGTTCAGGTAATGCAGCTACCAGAATGTGTACGAGCGCTTGTCAAGGAAACCATGTTAGGACCCGTCTATCAGCTCTAGTGAGTTGATGAAATTCATCACACATATTGTTAACAATTTCTCGAGGAATTTGGCGATTATAGAAGTGTTATGGTTTGGTCTGCAATTGTCAGTCTTCTGTTTTGCACAGCCCTTTTGGGGAGGGCTGAGAAATGGAGTTTCCCATTGATCTGGAAAGCGCTTGGATCATAGTGAAATGGCAAACATATTCAAAAGGAGCGGTGACATATCACGCCCTTCCAGTTTCTTGGCTGATGGGAGGATGTATTCAGCTTCCAGAACGGAGGATGTTTGAATAGATTTCATTGCCTGATGGATATTGCGGAGTGCAATAGCACTTTTAGATGGAGTCTTTGTGCATTTATAGCGTCAGTCTCAAAAATAATATAGGCGGAGTAGAACGAGTTAAGGCTTCACAGATGGAGCCTGGATTTCATCCACCAGTTGAGTGATCAATGAAAAGCGTTTGTTGGATCTTCGACAGTGAAAGCTGACCAGCTATTTTGTTTTACATGTCAGTCGTAGGGTTACTTGTTCATCATGTATTCTCACGATCAACTGGAAGTGCTTGACTTCAGAGATGACTCCATACATGCGTAGATTTATTGTAAAATATCCATTTCTTATTTAGCGCTCGATCGGTTATCTGGATTTCCGACTGATCAAACGTTCCGTTACAACTATTTAAACGTGAATGACTCGATTTTCTTGTACGGCAACGAACAGAAAGGAACCCGATGTTAGAAGTGCTTCACGGCAATGCAGACATTGTTAGAGAGAAAGAAGACATCCCAATCAGAGGACCGGAGTATTTGACGGAACGGTTCCCAGTTAATCCTGCGAATGATATAGGAGGAAGGTACTTGTTTGGTGGCAATTTGAACAGTGAAGGT